CCCCCCACCCCCTCCCCTCTTCGAAGTAAGCCGTTCTCCCACATAGAAGTAAGCCAGCCGTTCTGCATGGGTCAACCAGCCCTATGGAAAAGAAAAGGATAAACAATAAAAAAGCATTAAAAAAATAAAAAAGCATTAAAAAAAAAAAAGGATAGAAAATAAAGACACCCGCCTCATTGTGTGACGGTCTCGAACCGTGGATGGATGGGCAGAGATCGGGACGGTGACAAGATTTCTTTCCTGTTTTGGTGATTATCCGGGGATTTCCATGCACTCTCCGAAAATGGAAAGCTGGAAAGCTGCCCTCCCAATTGGTGGTCTAGGACTCCGTCATCGGTGTGAAAACGTTTCTCGTTGTGAGGAATAGGCCCGAGAGACAACGTCATCAGGAAAAAAAAAGAAGCGAAGACGTTTTATTGTTATTGTTGTTATTAATACTTATATATAATTTGTTACTAGGCTACCAGCCGGGCCGCCCAGGTCAACCTGTTTTCGCGGGCGGCCCGGCCGTGCAAGGACCAGGGATAGGCCCGAGAGACAACGTCATCAGAAATTATTGTTGTTATTAATACTTATTATATATATAATTTACTAGGCTACCAGCCAGGCCGCCCGGGTCAACCTGTTTTCCCGGGCGGCCCGGCCGTGCAAGGACCACGGAAGGTCCGAGGGGAAAGGGGGAAAAAAAAGAGAAAAAAGTTCAAAAAACCTATGTTAAGCAGAAAAATGAACTGAAGAACTTTTGCCTCAGGGTCACATCGAAATTCTTTACCAAATTTGAAGTATGAAATAAAAACATATTTGCTTTCTTTTTTTTTGGCCCGGCCGGGCAAGTGGTCCCGGGCCACTCTGTTAGCCTAGATAATTTATTATTATTATTATTATTATTATTATTATTATTATTATTATTATTTTAAAACGACTTTTATTCGTCATTGTGGGCCCAGTGCCCAAATAGGACAGAATAGGTGGGATGTTTGGGTTTAGATGAAGGGGAAGAGATCAATGGGCCTAGCTCAGTTGGTGCACCCAATGCACCTTTTCCATGGGAAGCGGCCCTCAATATAAAAAATGGTTGTTTGGGATTTGAAAAATGGAAAGCGACCCTCCAAATAAAATGTTTGGGTGGAGACGAGTCTGGATGGACCGAATGCGGAAAAAAAAGGAAAAAAAGCTAGGCTACCAGCCGGGCCGCCCGGGTCACCCTATTTTCCCGGGCGGCCCGGCCGTGCAAGGACAAGGGAAGGTCTTAGCCAAAAAAATAAAAATAAAAAAATCCGAAAAAAACTATGTTATGCAGAAAAATTAACTGAACAACTTTTGCGTCAGGGTAACATCGAAATTCTTTACCAAATTTAAAATTAAAAATGAAATTGAAAAATAATTTTTATTTTTTATGTTTTTATTTCTTTTTCGCCCGGGCAGGCAAGTGGACCCGGGCCACTCTGGTAGCCTAGAAAAAAAGGCAATTAATATAGTTGGAGGCAGCAGAGTTTTTTTTTGTGTGTGTGAGAGTGCGCTGGGTGGACCGAATGCAAAAAAAAAAGAAGAAAATCGAATGCAAAAAAAAAAGCTAATCAATATATTTGGAGGGAGCAGAGTTTTCTTTTTTTTTTTGAGAGTGCGCTGGGTGGATCGAATGCGTAAAAAAAAAGAAAAAGAAAAAGAAAGCCATTCAATCTATTAGGAGGCAGCAGAGGTTTTGTTTGTGCGAGTGCGCAGAGGAAGACTTGGAATAGAGCAGGTTTTGGTTTGGCGCGTTTTAAGAGCAATTTGGATGGATGCTCATCGGTGCAAGGATTGGATTGAACACCTGAATCTGGACGTGTTCTTGGAAAAGTGCAGAGAATGGCGATTGATCTGCATTTCTGCATCTCTCCTCAAAACGGATCCAGATTCAGGCGCTTAATCCAACCCTCTTTGCTGGTGGGACCTTGTCTTGGCGCGCTTTAAGAGGAATGCAACGGATGCTCATCGGTGCGTTGGAACCCTACCTCCTACCTCGTCGTGTCACTAAGCTCACTCCTAGATATCCGCTGTGGTGCGTGAGGAGTGACGATGATGATGGTTTTTTTTTTTTTTTTTTCCCCCCCTAACAAGATTATTATTTATTTTCTTTTTTTTCTCACGACATTTTATTATATTTTGAGACACTGTGAACCTAGGCTACCATCCGGGCCGCCCGGGTCCCGGGTGGCCAGCCCGTGCAAGGATCATCAGGTGAGGTCCCAGCAAAAAAAAAAAAAAAAAAAAAAAAAAAAAATCTGAAA